GCTCTCAGGACTCTGTCTGTCTCACACATGTTTCCTCCACTCTGGGTAAGGCTAAGTCTATTAGTTCTGAAACTAGCCGGCCTCTGGTCCTTGCCAAAAACAGTCACACAATTTTTTTCTCCCACCGTTCCACATTCGGTGGCCTATGCCGCCCCCTCGTGGCCGGCGAACACACGCTCACTCTTCTCTTCTCCCCGCCGGCAAACGGCGGACGTAAGAGAAGACAGGCAGCATGAACCACGTCACAAGCAAGGGCATCTCGCTCCCGCCTTGTCTCAGTTTGAATCCACCAATCACAGCGGCGTGATGAGCGCTGTGTTTGGCTCCGCTGAATCTTGCCTCGATTCATGCTCACGTACGGCCCCGGAGGCAACTCCTCCCGGGCCGCATTCAAAACAACGGCGCGCAGGGCTCCCCGGAGCTCCTGCACAGCCCTTTCGAGCAAAGCCTCCCATGGGTCACACGAGAGACCGTGACGGCGGCGAAGGCTCTGAATGGATTAGTTGCTATGACAACCGTTCTACAATCGGCGCATGCGCGAGCTCTCTCAGAGGCAGCTCCGTCTGGGAACACACTTGTCCTATGGACAAGTGGATGAAAAGCTTGATAAAAACGGGTTACAGGCTGCAGTTTGCAACCAAGCCTCCCCGGTTCAGCGGGATCCTAGAGACCCGTTTGTCGTCTCCACAGCAGGATCTCGCTCTTCAAGCAGAGCTTCAGGAACTCCTAAACAAGGATGTTATTTCCAGAGTTCCGAGCGGGAAGGAATACGAGGGTTTTTATTCCCGATATTTCCTTGTCCCCAAAAAATCAGGTGCGATGAGACCGATCCTGGATCTCTTGTTTTTTCAACAAATTCATACTGAAAAGACCTTTTCACATGTTGACAACCAAACAGATGCTCACATGTGTTCAGGAAGGCGATTGGTTCACGTCAATCGACCTGAAAGACGCCTATTTTCATGTCCCGGTCATCCCGGCACACAGAAAATACCTGCGTTTCTCTTTTTAGCAGACTCAGTACCAGTACAACCGTCTGCCTTTCGGTTACGCACTGGCACCACGCACCTTCTAAAAATGTGTAGAGACAGCACTGCAGCCTCTGTGCTCAGCGGGAATGAGAATCCTGTTTTATCTGGACGACTTGCTCCTGCTGGCTCCATCCAGACAGGAAGCAGCGTCACAGACGGAGAAACTGTCAGCACACCTCAGGATGCTGGGTTTTTCCATAAACTGGAAAAAGAGTTCTCTCATTCCGGCCCAACTCATTACGTATTTGGGTGTGGATCTGAACTCAGACACCATGACAGCTCATCTGTCTCTAACCAGAAAAGAGACTCTGCTGTCATTGTTAGCACAAGTTAGACCCTGCAGGTCAGTGACAGCTCTAACCATCATGCGTCTCCTAAGCATGATGTCAGCAGCCCCCGCGGTGGTTCCGCTCGGATTGCTACACACGAGACGCTTACAGCGGTGGTTCTCTCGGCTGAAGATCGATCCGATATGCCACAAGCGTAGGATTGTAT